ACCCCCTGCAAAAACCGCGACATAAGCGGCTGACTGAAGGCTGACTTGCCTCCAAATCCCTCATGGCAGGACGAAATGGCTGCTGCATACACCTTAATTGTGGAATGAGCCAGCCCCCTATCCACCAGTATATGTAAGTAGGATAGAATAGAGCCCAACGTACACGATAGCGGTTCTAGACTCCTTTCTTCACACCATCGCTGGATTCCCACCCACTTTGGCCTGTAACAGGCTGTGGTGGATTCTGCTCTTGCTGCCTGGATAGTCTGAATAACGTTGTCAGATAGCCCCACCTGTCTCAGCCTGTCCCTCTCAGGAGCCAAGCCCGGAGAGGTTGGCCCAGAGTGGGTAACGCCCCTATTGCACCTGCTTCCTGAGACAGCGCCCCCCAGACCTGAGGAATCGTCCAGGGCTGGCCCACCATCATCTGTGTCACCTCCACGTACCACGGCGTCAAGCGGCGACCTGACGCCACTAGGATAACTGACAGAGGTTCCCGCCTCACCCTCTCCAGGAGGGGGGGGGGGGGGATAAGGTGCAGTGGTGGAAAGGCGTAAAGCAGCTTTCTTGGCCATGGCTCGTGTGCAAATACGTCCACCCCCAAGGGCGGATTGTCCCACCGGGCCAGGGAGAACCACAGGGCACAGTGGCTGTTGCGCCGATTGGCGAACAGGTCCACCTCTGCTCTCCCGAACTGAGTCCAGACCTGCTTCACCACTTCCGGGTGAAGCATCCACTCGTCTGGCAGGGGCCTGCCACGTCGCCTCCACACACTGCCAGATATCTCGCAACGGGGGCGAAACAAAAAAAACAAACATAAAACCCCTGACGGAGGCGGCTCACCGGTTTGGGTGGTAGCGGAGGGGGAGCGTTAAACCCACAGGCTCCGCCGCCATGGCCATCACCAGCGGGAAATCCTGACGGGCAGATCTGCGCGGTGGACCCTCGTGGACGGCGGACCCAGAAGCGCCCGACAACGTGAACTCCTCGTCTTCTTCCTCCTCGACAAATGGGGCCGCCCGGCCCTGTCGGAATGGCGAACACTAACGGCACTTCCTCTGCCACCTCCTGGTCCTCCATTTCGACCACCTCGAGCTCCTCGTGGTCCTGCGCCTCGTACGGTGAGACATAGTGCGCCTGGAAGTGTTCCAGGCAATGTTGGCGTCCGAGCCGCGGGAGCGCACGACAGGCACTGCAGGACGGAGAATGTTTGCTGCCCTCCACCGTGTGGTCAGGCCCCAAACACTCTAAGCACAAGCGGTGAGGATCAGCGCCCACAATTAAGCCAGGGCATGTAGGGCAAGGCCGATGTTCAAGGAGTGGTGAGTCCATATTCTTTCACTTTCTTCTATCTATCTTCTTACGTTTAGCTTCAGCTATTGCTGCTCGCTGAAGAGAAAAAGGATGACGGTCGGGAGGCGTAGCCGCCTTATATACTGTGGGCCTGCGCATTCAGGTAGGCTCGCCCCGATTGGCCGGCTACGTTTATGCAACTCAGTAGGTGAATGCACGCATAGCATGGTAGAGAGTAGTACCCATAGAGTCCAGTAGAGGGCGGAGCCTGTGTGATATATAACCTGGGAAATCAGCCATAAATGTTAAATAGTTTTATAGATGACATTTCAAAATAACAGGCTCAGACTTTCTCAGTGAAATGTTCAAGAGTCTTTCTTAGAGGTGGTAAAAATATCCTGGAATATTCCGGTCCAGTGTTTCCTCTGTTAACATCAGTGTGTTCATGGGCAGGGTTGGGTTGTAACGGAATACATGTAACGGCGTTACGTAATCAGAATACAAAAATCAAGTAACTGTATTCAGCTCGCGTTACATTTGAAAAACGAGTAATCTGATTACAGTTACTTTCGTAAACCTGAAGTGAATACATTTTGGATTACTTATTGGAATTATTGGTGGAAAGATTTCCTCACAACATTTAATATTCATTACTAAAGGTACAGCCGAATCATCACAGCCCACAAAACCTATTACCGCCGCAGATGGACCAAAAAAGCGTTTGAAAAAAAATCGCGGGTCCGCTCAGTGAAACAATAACAGCGAAACATGGAAGAACACAAGTCTGCGTTTAAATCGCGTGTGTGTGTGGTTAAAACACATCAGCCTGCGGTCGCTCTTTCTTTAGCCTTACTAATGATTATTTCTGAAGGTAAACACAGTGAAGGCGGTGCGTGAAAGGCACTGCGTGCTCCTCTTCTCAGAGGCTGAGTTAACCCTCCCGCTGCCTCCTGGCGCTGCAGAGATTTCATGAAGTGAAGGAGGTGTTCCTTCTATAAAACAGCTGCGGCCAGCAGATACTGTGAGAGTCACGGACATGAATTCATAGATCAAGGCAGACTGGTGCACACACTCTCCTGTTTTGCCAATCCGGTGCGTAACCCTCTGGAGTCCAGGTGCGCATAATTTTACGTATTTAATCATATATTTCCGATTATAAGGAGTAGAAATATGATTCAGATATCCGCGTAATCGCTGGAAGAGTAGCTTTCCAGCGGTATCTCCTGTTAGACTGTAACCAGGGCACAGCAGCCAATATGGCCGCTCAAAGCAGCTTGACTTTACACTGTGTGGGATTGGTGGATTTGTGTGTCCGTCAAGGAAATCTCGGCCGGCAGCCATCATGGTCTGAAATGACCAATGGACATCGAGAAATCACTAAGAACCTACCCACCAAGTAAACAAAACATAAACCACGTGTCTCCCATCAGTTTACGTCTTTGAGGAGAGAGAGAGAGACAGAGAAAATGGCTAAAAAAAACTTTGCAGTTGCCGACTTCGCTAGAGATTTATTTCGCTAGCAGCAGTGAAGATAGAGCCTCAGAACCTGAAGTCTTCGACTCTTCTGAAGAAGAAGAATACAAAGACAACAACAAGGATCCATTTGGACATGGGTAAGTGTAAATATTACAGTAATAGTGTACTGGCAATGTGTGGGGAATACAGCGAAAATGAACAATAGGTTTATTGATATATATTATTTATCGATAGTCATGTACTTTTTATTGGACAAAATAGACTCTCCATTAGCAAACGTTTACTCTGTGTTAACGTTATTTTGGTGTGTAAAAGTGAGATTACATGTGTAGAGGATTAAATTAATCATGTATTCGTCCCACAACGGAGACATTTACAGTGACATGTTTTTGCCATCGATTATTTTATCATACTGTTCTGTACAGATGAGACTTTGTAATCAGATGTAGCCTATGTATATGTGTGTCTGTGATTTTATACTGAATGTAAAGTAACTGGAAATGTGTGTGGGTGTGTGTGTGTGTGTGTGTGTGTGAGTGTGTGTGAGAGAGAGATACTCCAACCTCCCAAACTTTCTTGTTATGTGTGCATTGTTATTTGTGCTTGAGCAACATTTTACTTGAACTTTATTTCAATGAAATTAGTTGTAATTATTGTCCTACGTTTTAATTTGTTTTTACAGAGATGTTTCACAGCTGCCTGGGCCTAGTGGCCCACAGGCGGCGTTTATCCAGCAGCCAGAACATCCATCTGTGCCGGCCCCCAGGTCAAGATCTACTGTGGCTCAAGGGCCTTCACCAGAGCCATCAAGGACCAGCAGACCAGCATCACTACAGCTGCCTCCACCTCCATCTGCGGCTGCCACCAGGTCAAGATGCACCTCAGCACAAAGGCTCCACCACAGCCATCACCTTCAACCCAGCCAGCAAGGAGGTCTCGTGGAGGTCTCGTATAGCACTTGTACACCCCACCTACACAGCAGCCCATGCACCATCACCCCCATCTTCACAGCAGCCAGACCCACTGTCTTGGAAGACAGACAAAGACCGTGACACTGTCTTGACATTTATAATGAATAGTTGGTTGAAAGTTCTGATGTTCAATATTGTAAATAGTTAGATTTTCCAGTTTCTTATATTTATATAAATAGTTGGTTGAAAAAAACATTTATAATAAATTGTTGGTTGAAAAAAAGGTTGAATGCTCAATTTGTATTTGTACACATCACATGAACCTTGGTATGTAATATGAAGTCCTTATTCAGTCCTGATGTATCTCAGTCCCTGCTGTGGTGAAAGTAGAGTGATAAACACCTATTTTACTCAAAATTTGAATTTAATGTTTTTCATTTTAGACATGAATAACACATTTATATACAGTGTAATTCAAATATTTCACTGCTTTTGTGATCCTAAGACTTTGGTAACCAAATCTAAAACACCAAAACAATTCGATCACATGAGTAAATTTGTGTTTTCACAAAAGTTTTGAAGATTTTCCGAAAATCGGATGTCACATTTTAAGCTTTTGAGCTACTTATCTCATCAAACAGTGCTCTAAGGTGAGTAATTTGCATATATAGCAATTCTAGAGATTGTCCTGAACATTTTGATATTTAACACATGGGGTGCCATGTTAGAAGAAATACATTTAAAAGGTGATTTAAGAAAACATCTAAAAATCGAGAAAATACCCTTAGACTCCAGAGGGTTAAACAAATATAGCTCTACACCCCTGGCCGTAATGTCCTTAAAATGAAGTCCGAGTTTGACATTTTAATTCATGTCCTGCCAACACTGGCAGGACAGAAGGTGACACGCCCGTTCTAAGCCATGTCCCTCACTCCTCACATCACAAGCTGCATCCCCAACAAGTGTATTATGTTGTTACATCGTTTCAGATGCTATGTTTCAGTTGTGCTCTTGATAAGCTATTAAAACAGTAAAAACACGTTCAGTTTCCTTTTGCTTTTTGTGTCTCCTGTTCACCAAAACATACCCATCTGTGATGGAAAAAGAAAGTAATCCAAAAGTAATCTAAAAGTAATCTGATTGCTTTTTTAAGACCCGTAACTGTAACTGTATTCGGATTACTTTCAGAGCCATGTATTCAGTAATCAGTAACTGATTACATTTACAAAGTAACCCTCCCAACCCTGTTCATGGGACTGTTGTTGGTGCAGCGTAGAGATATGTACAGAGAGAGCAGGAAATAAAAACATGTCAACTCACCCGGGACAGGACCACCTCTAAGGTGATGTTCTGTGGGGGGGCGCTGGGAGCTGTAGAGACACAAACAGGATCACATCAGGTTATTATAAATATAACACTGCTGCTCGGTGTAAATGTTAAGAATGCACTAACATTGTGCAGGAATCTTCACACTTAATTGGGTTTATATTATGTCACTGACATATTTCTTATTTTTTTTGCTTTTGAAAATATTATTTTTATGATATAAACTGAATACTTTCACGTCAAAGAATCTGAGGACGAAAACAAGGTCAGGTCCAACTCCAGAAGTGACAAAACATTCAAAATAACAATGAGAAATGTCAAATTGCAAATGATATTTAATTATTTTATAATGCAGAACTTTGTGTGCTTCGTCCCATGAGTCTATGTCCCTGAGAGGGAGAGAGACATTCTGTTGATGCAATGCATCATGACATCATGGATGCATTGCACCATTAATGAACAGAAAGGGTAACATTTGGGACTGAATTGCACATCTGAGGATAAGCTTCATATAATAAATCTTCATTTTTGATAGAGCTTGGAAGTTCCCCCCCCCCCCCCCGCTTCTTTGTGCTAAGCTAGGCTAATCACACAACTTCACTCAGTTTGAGACACTGAACTTGACCGCCTCATTACAGATGAAGCTTTATTATTTGTTCACAGTGTCATTGAGCTGGATGAGTGTTGGAAGAGTGCTGGTGTCAGATTTCTGTCAATCAATCCCCCTGATGATGACATCAGAACAGACAGGAAGCAGGCGGCTTCAGTGGAGTCTGACTGTCACTACAGCGGAAAGAGATTACCGCCAGACACAAGACAGGTGTCATTAAACACACACACACACACACACACACTCACTCACTCACTCACACTTCATCCCTCCGAACCATCAGGACATCAGACTGATTCTGAGGTCAGCCCTGGAACTGGAAGATAAGGAAGAAGGAGTGGAGGGAAATGATAGAGGGCTGTAAACAAAGAAGATTGATGAATAAAGAGAGGACTGAAAAGAAGAAGAAGAATATAAAGATATCAAAGCTGATGATATGGCAGATAACACACAAAGAAGAACACAGGACTAATGATGGGAGTGATGGGAATGCTGAGTCCAGATAACAGCACACAACGTACTATTTGCTACATTTGAGTTGTAATGAAGTATTTGTCAACACAGCACCCTAAAGGGCGGGACTTCTGAGTTGCTGTTACTCTAAAGGTGAGAATTGTATGTTCTGTTCAGAGATTAAGAAATAATAGTAACTCAACGCTAATAAACCTGTTTGTTTCCACTCAACAGTTTATCAGGTATTGTTAGAGGAATCAATAAAGAATCTCTTTGATAAGAGCAATTGAAAACAATAAAATCCTATCAACTCCCATCCCTGATTATATATACAATATAAAGAGGATGAGTAGGAAGAGGGTGATGATGAAGAGGCAGCAGACACGTGGTCCTGCTCGGACACCTGATTAACTGTCAGCAGCGTATCTGTTCATTCAGCTGCTCCAAGTGTGTGTGTCAGTTTTACTGTGGGTTATATTAGCCCACAAGTCATTGTTATCATTGAGACACAGCTGGAAGATTCACAATGCAGCCACTTTGCATCTGGGTGAGTGTGTGTCTCTGTCGCTCTCTCTCTGTGTGTGTCTCTGTCTCTCTCTCTCTGTGTGAGTGTGTGTGTGTCTGTCGCTCTCTCTCTTTGTGTGTGTGTGTGTGTGTGTGTGAGTGTGTGTGAGTGTGTGCCTCTCTCTGTGTGAGTGTGTGTGTCTCTATGTGTGTCTCTGTGTGTGTGTGTCTCTGTGTGTGTGTGTGTCTCTGTGTGTGTGTGTGTGTGTGTGTGTGTCTGTGTGTGTGTGTGTGTGTGTGTGTGTGTCTCTCTGTGTGAGTGTGTGTTTCTGTCGCTCTCTCTCTGTGTGTGTCTCTGTCTCTCTCTCTCTGTGTGTGAGTGTGTGTGTGTGTCTATCTCTGTGTGAGTGTGTGTGTGTCTCTGTCGCTCTCTCTCTTTGTGTGTGTGTGTGAGTGTGTGTGTCTCTCTGTGTGTGTGAGTGTGTGTGTCTCTCTCTCTCTGTGAGTGTGTGTGTATCTCTGTGTGTGTGAGTGTGTGTGTCTCTCTGTGTGTGTGTGTGTCTCTGTCGCTCTCTCTCTGTGTGTGAGTGTGTGTGTCTCTCTCTGTGTGTGTGTGTGTGTGTGTGTGTCTCTCTCTGTGTGAGTGTGTGTTTCTCTCTCTGTGTGTGTGTGTGTGTGTGAGTGAGTGTGTGTCTCTCTCTCTCTCTGTGAGTGTGTGTCTCTGTGTGTGTGAGTGTGTGCCTCTCTCTGTGTGAGTGTGTGTGTCTCTATGTGTGTCTCTGTGTGTGTGTGTCTCTGTGTGTGTGTGTGTGTGTGTGTGTGTGTGTGTGTGTGTGTGTCTCTGTGTGTGTGTGTCTCTATGTGTGTGTGTGTGTGTGTGTGTCTGTGTGTGTGTGTGTGTGTGTGTGTGTGTCTGTGTGTGTGTGTGTGTGTGTGTGTGTGTGTGTGTGTGTGTCTCTGTGTGTGTGTGTGTGTGTGTGTGTGTGTGTGTGTGTGTGTGTGTGTGTGTCTCTGTGTGTGAGTGTGTGTGTGTGTTATTACAGATCATGTTGGTGTAATTGCAGCCATTCTCTCACTGTCTCTATGGAGGTGTTTAATGAAACAGAACAGCAGTCAGCAGCTGTTCTGTGAATCTGAATGTTATATTGAGAGGAAATATTATAGATCAGTGTGTGGAACATGAAAACTATTGATCAACCAATCATCAAAACATTGACTAACGGACAGGAAGCTGATATAGCCTCCTGACCGTTGACAGGTTGTGTTCTGGTTAAAGAGCAGAACCTAGGGGTGTCAAACTCAAATACACAGTGGGCCAAAATAAAAAAATGGGTACTAGTCGAGGGCCGGACTGGTTCAGTGTTTATTGCAGAACGTATTGAAATGAACTTATTGCACATATAAAACCTGGAACTAACAAAGCCTAAATGATTGCCTATAAAAACAACATTAAACATTAAAAAATCAGTTGTATTAATTTATTATGGCTCTATCTGCAGAGTCATTTCTTATGAGTACATTTTTCCACAGGCCAACAACAGCTTCAAAAAAACTATTCCCCTCAAAGAGAAAACCAAACATGCCCTGTTGTCCTGAGAGAGAAAGTGCAGAAGGAAGCATCCATTAAACTCAGTGTGCTGCTCTGTGATGCTCGTTCAGATACTTGGCATCTCATCTCGGGTGCAAGGTCATCAATGTTTGGGCTCAGGCTCTGAGCGGAGGAGACCCTCAGGATGGAGTGAAGGTGTGCGTGCAATATACCGGCGGGCCAGATCTAACAGTAATTCAAAATTATCCTGCAGGCCGAAATTGAACAACTAGTGCTTTAAGCACATAGTTTGACATATACCGCAATATACCCTCCTGCAATTTCACTTTCGCTATTTGTTTTTTTACTTATTGTCTTATTAGTAACGTGTAATTGTAATCATTTAAATGTCCATACAAAGAGTCATAATTCAAGCATACAAAGGTCCCATAGACAGTGGAGGGAAACAGGTGGAACACACTCAGAATGACCTTGCAGTGACTCCTAACAGTAGGGGGGGAATAAGTTAAATTCCACCAAACTGGTGGTCATGAGAACGCTGCTATTAATAATCTTTACGCATAGCATTGGCCTGTACTTCCATTTGAATGTGTGTTCACAGTGACAACTAACTAGGACGGTACAGGCTTTGTAACGTTTTACTTTTCACTAAACAACAAGATCTGAAATATCATTTTTTACAAAGCAAAATGAGATCAACTATTTCTTCTCATTTCATGCTGCTGAGAGGCCATCTCCATAAAACATGCTAAGAGATCTGAAATGACTGACTATAAAATAATATAATTCAGTAGTTTTTGTCTTTTTGGAAGGGTGTTTATAGAGAAAGAATGACAAAGCACATAAGGGCTCCATGGTTACAGTGCTCTTTGAAGGAGCTCTTAACAAACCTGAGTAGCGACACAGTTCTACTGTGAGAGATGATTCCTGCCCAACAAACAAACACACATTAATGTCCCGATGTTGATGGGGAGCTCACCGTCTGATTGGGTGGTGACGCTGACCGTCACCGGGGCGGTGCCTGGTCCATAGCGGTTGATTGCCAGAACTCGAACTGTGTACTCTGTGAACTTATTGAGTCCCTCCATCTTGTAGTTGAGTCCGTTCACCTCCACACTCTGAACACAAACACAGGACAGTTACACTTTGCTGTTTCAGCCATTGGAATGTTCATTGAGTTTAACGGTTTAGCAAACTCCACAAAGCAACAGGAGGTGGCTGGACTGACAGGAAGTAGTACAGCAATGATGGTTCTGACCAAGCCCCCAGGAAGTGCGCCAGACGTTGATCCACATTTTCGTGGTGGCCAAACACGCTAGGTACTACAGCTTCCGGGTCAGTCAGTGACATCATTTGGCCAAAAAATACTTCTTTCCATTGACTTACATTGGGAAAGAGACGTCTGTAAATCATACTGACAGGAAGTAGTGCAGCAGTAAGGGTACTGACAGGAAGTAGTGCAGCAGTGACGTTACTGACAGGAAGTAGTACAGCAGTGACGTTACTGACAGGAAGTAGAGCAAACTGACCTGCTCCTTGTTGGACGGCCTCTCTGTCCACAGCAGTCTGTAGCTCAGCACGGGGCCGTTGGGTTGGCTGGGCGGCTCCCAGCTCACCTGGACGGAGGAGGGAGACAGAGCCTCCGCCTGGAGAGACTCCACCCTGCTGGGAACCTGGACTGTACACACACACAAAGACAACACACCTTTCACACACCAGCACCAACATATATAACATCTTCCACTGCTACATATGCTGCCACCAATGCAGTTAATTCAGACATCTTACTTTGCTGATAGATGGTTGTATAGAAATGAGGTATGACGTCACACCTATTGCATTTAGATTATGGTTTAGTTTATTCTGTCATAACATTCGGAATAACCCTTTCACAAAGGTTATTCAATTGATTCACAAGAGGAATTATAATACAAATATGAAAAAGATAATATAAAAAAGCTACAACAAACATTGATAATATTTTTTTTAACGAGAGCGCTCTACACTTTTGTGATTTAAAAAATAAACTATAAGTCTGAAAAATGACCATATTTACTGGATATTACATCCAAAATTACCAGTTGTATTTCCTTCAAGCATAAGACACTTTAAGATGCATGGTCAACATTCAAAAACATTGGAAACTTCACTGCACTTCATAAGTTTTCTCCTTCAATCTACAAAGAAAAGCCACAGAATATAACAGCGCTACAGTCTGTGTGAAGTTAGTCAGGAATCCCTTTAAGAGAGGGCTCCTTAATGAGTGGTTTGTAGCCCATTAGCCTAGGTTAGCCCTGAATGTGTTGATACCCAATTCAAAGTGCATGAGCTTCTGATGACTGTGTGTGTGTGTGTGTGTGTGTGTGTGTGTGGGTGTGTATATGTGTGTGTGTGTATATGTGAGTGTGTATATGTGTGTGTGTGTGTGTGTGTGTGTGTGTGTGTGTGTATATGTGTGTGTATATGTGAGTGTGTATATGTGTGTGTGTGTGTGTGTGTGTGTGTGTGTGTGTGTCGTACGGTCAGGTTTGGTGCTGATGCTCAGGGGGGCGGAGCTCTGTCCCGGCCCCCTGTCGTTGTATGCGATGACTCTGAAGGTGTAGCTCTCCTCAGGCCTCAGGTTGGAGACGGTCAGCTCCAGAGACTCCGGCTCCGACACATTGACTGAGCGCTCCCTGAGAAGGAAAACACAACGTCATACATAACGCCTAAATGATGGAACGAGCTCCCCGTTGATATCAGGACATCAGAGAGTCCACACTCCATCGCAGACTGAAACTCAGGACTGCATCTTAGAAATATCTTCTGTACGTAGCACAGGGATTTGGCTCCAAGTGAAGCTAATGCCTGAGCACTGAGATCTGGTTGGGTTCTTAGATAGAGAATATACCTGCAGGATTCTTGCTTTTGTGTTTGTTTCTTCATGGTCGAATGCACTTATTGTAAGTAGCTTTGGAAAAATGAAATGTAATGTAATAACTAGCAAATCTTCTTACTCACAGATTACTCATTTCAATTATGTATTTATTTGAATTAAAGCTCATTATAAAAATCTAATAGCGCTGCATAAAGATAATCTACACTGTAATCAGATGTAATCTGTATAATCCCGCAGTGACTGCAGCTGATCCTCAGATTATAGCATCTCTGCAGCTTCATTACTCAGCCAATCACAAACCAGCTGCAAAGATTAGCATGTTTGGCTGCAGCATTAAATACACACAGCTGCCTTTTCTTCTCATTTACAATGTTAGGCATACCTACCATAAGCAGTGCACAGTGATTTGTGTATATCGCACAGAATCAATGTGTAAGTATTCCCTGTAATTGTGAAGCGTGCATTTTAGTGTGCCAGGAACGCTGTAGGTGCCTAAACACAGTCTGAGGTCACAGTCAGAGGTCGCAGTCTGAGGTCACAGTTAGAGGTCACAGTCAGAGGTAACAGTCAGAGGTCACAGTCAGAGGTCACAGTCAGAGGTCGCAGTCTGAGGTCACAGTCAGAGGTCACAGTCAGAGGTCACAGTCTGAGGTCACAGTCAGAGGTCACAGTCAGAGGTCACAGTCTGAGGTCACAGTCAGAGGTCACAGTCAGAGGTCACAGTCTGAGGTCACAGTCAGAGGTCACAGTCAGAGGTCACAGTCTGAGGTCACAGTTAGAGGTCACAGTCAGAGGTCACAGTCAGAGGTAACAGTCAGAGGTCACAGTCGGAGGTCACAGTCAGAGGTCACAGTCTGAGGTCACAGTCAGAGGTCACAGTCAGAGGTAACAGTCAGAGGTCACAGTCGGAGGTCACAGTCAGAGGTCACAGTCTGAGGTCACAGTCAGAGGTCACAGTCAGAGGTAACAGTCAAAGGTCACAGTCTGAGGTCACAGTCTGAGGTCACAGTCAGAGGTCACAGTCAGAGGTAACAGTCAGAGGTCACAGTCGGAGGTCACAGTCAGAGGTCACAGTCTGAGGTCACAGTCAGAGGTCACAGTCAGAGGTAACAGTCAAAGGTCACAGTCTGAGGTCACAGTCTGAGGTCACAGTCAGAGGTAACAGTCAGAGGTCACAGTCGGAGGTCACAGTCAGAGGTCACAGTCTGAGGTCACAGTCAGAGGTCACAGTCAGAGGTAACAGTCAAAGGTCACAGTCTGAGGTCACAGTCTGAGGTCACAGTCAGAGGTAACAGTCAGAGGTCACAGTCAGAGGTCACAGTCAGAGGTCGCAGTCTGAGGTCACAGTCAGAGGTCACAGTCAGAGGTCACAGTCTGAGGTCACAGTCTGAGGTCACAGTCAGAGGTCACAGTCTGAGGTCACAGTCAGAGGTCACAGTCTGAGGTCACAGTCAGAGGTCACAGTCAGAGGTCATTCAGCACTAATAAATAACACACTCAGTCAGAGACAGTTCTTCTCTGCTTCCATTTTCATTACTCCTTCCTGTTCTGCTGACTTTTACTTTAGCAGAGCCTCACTCACCTTGTTGTCTAGGGATAAACAGATTCAACAAAATGTAATTATATAAATATATTTACATAAAATAAGCTTAACGTTTTTGGTACAGCTGAAATATCAACTCTGTGGCAGCAGGAAGCCAAAACACCTTATGAAATTCATCACAAAACTAAAGGAATTATAAACATAATTCTTTGGTTGTCATAACGTTGATGATCTCTTAATTGTTCTTCTATCAGCTCAACACTTCAGAGTGTGCAATATTATGGGTTATGAACCAAAACTAATGACATTCCCATCAGCCCCAGCTGTACTTGTGTGAAGTGCTATTCAGCTAATATTAGCATGCATTAAAGGTATCACTGAGTGTTTATCTAGACAACATTACAACATTTTGTCTTCTTTAACTCAGCTGCTTCCAATATCTGATGTGGTGTACATGCACTGTGCCAGAGAGCCAGCTGCTGTGTGAAGTTAACAATAATCTCATGTTGTTGTCTTGCACTTGGTGTTGCCAAGCAGCTGTTGCCATGTGTGATGTTGTTATTGTGTTTCTCAAAACCTATTTGTATAACTTTTTCATAAAAACTGGCCTGGGCTAGGTGGAAATGGCATGCAAAATGATGGCATCTATGAGAACATTTAAATATTGTCAGAATAATAAGCAGGATGATAAACCCGGCTCAGCACTGTGAATAGAGTGAGCTCCATCTGGAGGTCCATCCAATGCTTCATTTATTTTTCCATTGTTCCCTCTTGATGTTATTTTCAATATACTTCCTGAAAGTCATTACAACTGACAAATAAATCTCATCTGGACTCTCCCTTCCTGCCATCTCCCTTTTCTTTCATTGTTTTCCCTCCAAATCGCTCTCCCTCCCTCATCTTATTTTTCCAGTAAGTTATTAGAGCTGAACATTCTCTGTCTTTTTAGGACTGACAAAAACTCTGCCTCTGTTTCCTGTGTAAGTAATTAGGACTGACAGAATGTCTCGTTTGTATGGTTTTTAGTGAAACTTCAGGGCTCTTTTGTCCAGTGTACTGCTCAGAAACGTAAAGCAGTGCAGGCTGCTCTAGTCCTTGAGGAAACAAAGCTTAAAGCCGGGCTGTCAGAGGTTAGTATTAACAGCAGCCGGGGACTCAATATGTCATCAACGGCTCTCTCTGCTAAACGTGCTGAGCTGCTGTGTGCAGCGGAGCTGTGATCAAAGGGAAGACATGCTGTCTTGAACATATTGTTATGTCTTTTGTGCTTTTATGATTCCACAACAGGGAGCTTCCTGTTTTACAGTATTATGGTTCACACACATTTAAGTCCATGCCATGCATAAACAAGTGTGAACCATTCCTCTAAATTAAATCATCCCACCCACTTGGATTGGGACAAAGTTACAAAATCTGTGTGGTAAGGTTGTACGTCTGCCACATTCACACTTAGGTTCACACTTCATTAAAGATACCAGAATCCTACGGGATCGCTGAGACGGATTTAGAATATCGTCTGCCTTTAAACAGTTTGATTCAACCTGGACCTACAGGAGTTAGTAGAGGTAAGACCTTGCCAATCCAGGTGGATTTGAGCCTGGCGGTAAACTCGCATTGACTCAAAAGCTTCTGATGCTGATACTTTTTTCCTCTTGCTCAACCATAAGGCTCACATTTGTTTTTTATGTGAAATGTCTCACTTAGGGCTGCTCTCGACTAAAGATGTTTCTAGTCGACCAATAGTCGTCAATTAAGGCGATTAGTTGACTAATCACCGCACGTTTATGATACATTATGATTATAAATATATATACTTCTTTTTTTTCTCCCAAAATGGTTTCAGTTTCAAAGGCTGATAAAGAGCGTTATTATAACAGCATGGTACGTTGTGCTTCACATAACATATCAAATAAATACTACAGAGGAAACAGAAAAACTGAACATATCAGTGTCTGCAAAAATCCCTCTCATGAAATGAAAGCTTTATCGTTTTCTGAGGTCAGAATGATTATACTGCTGTAGCGTGGCGTGGGGTAAACATTTGAGGAAGCCAATAATCTATGTCCTTTTTTTGGGGGTGGTCAATGTACTGTAATAACGTAACCAGATGAGTGATTACAGCGACCGGTATCATTTTACACACATTTGTATCATACAGATGCAGGACTTGCACACGCCTGTTATCTAACCGACAGGTCCGCATGCACTCTCCAGCCGAAACTCTCTCGTCTTATTAATTTATGCATTTTCTTATTAATTGATGCAGCCAACCCCCCACCCAAATGCATAACCCGCCGCTTAAAGCACAATGCAGATTCGGTAATGAATAGAAAACAAGCATTCATTCATTCACTAAATCAGGAGACTTTTAAAGTTGTACGTTCACATCAAAGTATCAGTAACCTACGTGTATGAAACACATGACTTCAGTTAAGTGCAGAAACATTGCATGTGATAGTCCACCTTCTCTTCCCTTCCCTCTCTCACACGGAAAGTGCAGCAGCAATCCTCACCTCTGTAATTAGCTCAGTCCTTAGTCCAAATGTAAAAAAGTAGCGAAAGTTTCGTAAAATGATGTTTTACTAAATACTCTAGATCTCCATCCTCCATAACTGCACTTGCTAATGTTGCTACTTGCTAACAGCAGTGATGACAGTATGAAGTTGATGCGATTTGATTGGAGTGATTAGTCAGGGCCATGCCAAGGGAAGCCATCCGCCCTCTGGCTTCCCTTGGCATGACCCTGACCAGAGCCATATAATAGAAGAGTTGTTGCGACATCTCCGTTCACTCGAATGGACCAGTTTTTTTACAGCAATGGCGGATCGTGGAGCCCTCAATAGTTCCCCGGAGGTTAGCTTGCCGCTGACTTCCACGGGAACTGTATTGATAGTTCCACGATCTGCGGCTAGCAGCGCAGTAGAGTTGCAGCATAATAGAACGTTCGTGATGGACTTTTAAAGGTAAGAAGACGTTTAAAGATTTATATTGCGGATATTATCTGCACATCTGAGTCAAATGAACATGTATATTAAAGGATGTTAGTGGATTATCCCTAAATCAGTAGATTTAGGGAACGTTTACAGATAACAGATTAGGCTAGGATACCGGATAAAGTTAGCAACACACGTTAACCACGAACAGCCTATTAATCCGTTCTCCTAATGTTATTTCAATCTAACGTTGTGGAATTAGAGAAAAAGGGCTTCTTAACGTGCTTTTATCCGGGGTGGAGGGAGTTACATATTAGTTAA